TCACATTGTACACTTTAAACTTACACAATGTTATATGTCAAGTATATCTCAATAAAGCTGGAAAAAGAAAAAAGAAGAAAATACAAACTACAAATATCAGGAATGAATGATGGAAAATTATGACTTATATTACAGACAGAGACAATAATAGAATATAAGGAACAAGCATATCAAAATAAATTTGACAATTTAGCTAAAATAGTCTAATACTTTGAAAGAAATAACTAATAAAAAAGACAAAAGATTTAGATAATATGTTATAAAAATTAAAATTTTAATTAATAATCTTCCCAGAAAGAAAATTTCTGGCTCAGATGGCCTCATTGGTAAACTCTATAAAATATTTAAGGAAGAAATAACATCCACAAACTCTTTCAGAAATTAGAAATATTCCTAATTCAATTTATAACACTAACTTTATACTAACACCCTTACTAGACAAAGACAATAACAGAAAAGTACAAATCAACCAATTTTCCTAAACAAATTGAGCTGAAATAACTAGATATTCCTATGAGAAAAAAAAAGAACCTCAACTCTTACCTCACACCAAACAACAACAAAAAATTAACTCAAAATGGATCAGAGATCTTAATATAAAAGCTAAAACTACAAAACTTCTAAACAAAAAATAAGAGAAATTTTTCACAATCTAGATGTAAGCAAAGATTTCTTCAAACAGAAAAAACACAAATCAGGAAAGAAAAATTTTAAATTAGACTCATCAATATTCTGCTTTTCACAAGACAGCATTTTAAAAAAATGAATAGCAAGCGACCGACTTAAAGAAAATATTCATGTTATGTATACATGATGATGACTTTTACCCAGATATTGAGAACTCTTACAACTCAAGAAGAAGAAAACATTGCTTTTTAAAAAATGGGAAAAGGAAGACATTCAAAGAAGACAATGAATGACAAGCACATGAAAAGAAGCTCATCATCACTAACATCATTAGTTTATCAGAAAATAAATGATCAACTAATTAAAACCACAATGAGATACCACTAAAATGCATAATAATGGCTAAAATCAAAAGGATAATAACAAATGTTGGCAAGTATCTGAAGTCATCAGAATTCTCAGAGCTTGCTAGTGGGAATGCAAAAGTGAAACTAACCCACATCATATTGCCAGCAGTAACACCCACGGTAAATAAAAGCGTATGACCAAACAAATACTTGAACATGGAATGTCACAGTCCTAGTTGTAATTGCTCAAAACAAAAAACAGTCTAAAATGATATGACATGTGACATTGTGATTTGAAATGCTATTCAGAGAAAAAGAAACTACTACTGATACACAACAACATAGATGAATCTCAGAAATGTGCTGAGGGAAAAAACCTACACACAAAAGAGTACCTGCTATTTACGTTCATTTAAATGAAACTACAGAAAAAGCAAGCCTACTCTATAGTGATAGAGAACAGATCTGTGGTTGTCTGGTGGCAGGGAAAGAGGAAGGGGGCTGGAGGCTGTAGAGGGACAAGGGGACTTTTGTAATGGAAATGTTGATATCTTGATTGTGGTGGTGGATACATGGTTATATACATTTGTCAAAACGTACACAAAATGACTGCACCTTTATTGTACGTAAATTATACCTAAATAATGTTTTAAAATGTACTCATGGGAAAGCAATCTCTTCTAGAAAACAGAATACTCCTTAACTCATTTTATAAGATTAACATTATTTTGATACCAAAACCAGACAAAGGCATTAAAGTTCTAAATACCTTGGTGTATGTTTACAACTAACCTCCTATTATGAAAGCACAGCACTGATCAAGCATGTAAAGGCACTTAGGTACTTACAGCAGAAGGGAAGTTTCTATTAAAAGAAAACAGTAATAGGAGCTTCCTAACACACGTAACCTAAATTACAATTTTATCCTGAAGTTTTGCCACATTTCTCCTTTTTTAAAAAAATTCATCTCCTAGCCAATCTTCTATAGAAAGTGTCATCCTATTGGTAAGGCCAAACACTGGTGTTGATTTCCAAAAGCAAGACCAATAATATATCCCTGCAGCTTTCAATACAACTTTTAACACTTCTTTAAATTTTCTCAGAATCAGTGTCCTAGTTCACTCAATCACTATCAATTAATAAATGAGTTGTCACATCTAAAAGATTAATGATCTTAGGACCTAGTCTTATTTTTGAAAAAAAATCTGACATATATAATAGTAGAGAGAGAAAGTAGCATAATGCATAATGGACTCCCATCCACACATCATCAAGATTACAAAATTCAACATGTTGCTATTGTTGCTTTATCTTTCTTTTTTTCCTTTCTTTTAAAAGCAAATCTCAGATGTCCTGTCTCTTTAGTCCTGAATACTTCAATGTGCATCCCTAAAAAACATGAATATTTTTAAGATCTCTTTTTAAGGCTATTTTCATACAGTATGGGTACATTAGATTGCTTTCTCAATATACCAGAGGTCTGGTTGAATTCTTGCAACCCCTCTTCAACATCATATTTTTTTCAACTTCTGAAACCTATGGCAACTACATAATTAATGAAAAAAAAATCTTTCAGAAGACATTCTTTTCTATACAGTTTCATTAAGTGCCTTTGGCTTATGGCTTACATTAAAGTTAGACATGTCATTTAAATATAGCATAAACCTCATTTTTTCATTTGACAAGAAAACTAATTTCTTGTTTTCACAAAGGCATGGAGAGAAATAAAAGTGAAATAAGGCCCAGCCAAAGCAGAAAGTTTTCCCATGGCTGTTCAAAATGGATATTATATCCCTACACAAGTATACAGTGGGTGCAAAACCATATTCTACACAATTTTTTTAAAAGGGAACAACAGTTGCATTCTAGTGACTCAGTAGGGACACTTATCAGTAATTCATGGTCAAACATTCATCAGCACGATGAATCTGCAGATATCAACATATCATTTAACATCCATCCTACTAAACAATATACGTTACAAAAATTCAGTACACTTTATCTGAAAAGTATACTCAATGTATTTACCATGGCTGTTACTTTGTTTCAGGAAGAACAGAGAGCTCTGTATTTCAGAGATAATGAGAGTTGTACCAGAGTTGACTTGCTAAGTACCACAAAGCTAAACCCTAAGATCTTAAAAGCAAGGAAAGGAATCTGTATCCATGAAATAGATTTTCCCTAACTAACCAAATAATAATTTGACATATTGAAAAAGATAATATGTGAAACAACACATCCTTCCTAGTGGTCTGGGGGAAAAGGGATCGAGATAGTCACATAGTAATCAACTGGACGTGGAAAGCAAGCTAATTTTTAGTCTGTCAAATAACATTTTTGAATGGAAGCATTTCTTCTGGCTCTCAATATAAAATGGATTCACCCCACCCCATTTTTAAACATGAATTACCTGTAAAATAAAGTTACTCCAAGACACATGAAATCTTGAGGTACATTCTACATCTTTCACAATTCTTACACATAAGGTATAAACCATTCATCATAGAAAAAAATGAAAAGGAATTACCCACTAGGCCAACAAAAAAACCTGGGAAGGCTGAGAGTAGCTCAGTTAGAATCTTCAAAGGTACAGAGATAACCCTGAGCTCAGCTATTTAAGTACATACTAGAAGGGGCTCACCATGCATGTGTTGGCATAGACTATAACTTGTGACTGCAGGAAGAAACAGTGCTCTCATACACACACGATTTGTCTGCTGTGTTACTTGTCCTGACCTTTCAATTTAAGTGAATGTAACAGAACCTATTACATTCAGTCTGGCTGCATAAGATTATATAAGACAATCATTAATGAGCCAGATTTTTAAGTGTGCTGAAGATAAACTGACCCCTTCAGAGGGCTTTTCCCTTTTGTTCCCCTGCTGTGTATTGCAATGGGAACTAGGACACCAATAGTTTTAGGACTTCATTAAAAGCGCAATACTGACTTTTCCCAATGTCTGAATCAAATCAGCTTTGAAACTTGCCAGTTACTTGAAGTTACACATAAATCAATACCAATTTGGTAAAATTTAAATTGCAATTTTCAAAATAATGCAACAGGCTGACCCAATTTTACTCTCCACTTTCAAAAAAAAAAAAAAAGCTAAACTACAGATTTATTTCAGGAATGACCTCTGAGGCAAGTGTATAATAAACATTCATTTTTGGGGGTTTTTCCCCCCACCCATTTCTCTACCCAAAAAGCAGACTGTAAAACTTAAATCATACAAATGTCAGGAGTTCTTGCAAATAGGCTGTTTGTTTGAATAAAAAATGTTTGACTATCCTTTTAAAGTTTTCAAACTTCTCTCTCCCTCCACATGAGCAAGCTTTTACATTTACTTATTGTCTGTCGTTTGAAGTAAAGTAAGGGTTTTACTGCTGAAGGGAAGGGGCGGGGGCATAGAACAGTTTTTGGCACACATTTATTTAAAACAAATATCGAAAACTCTAGATCCTCTTAAAAAATAGTGAGGATGATATCTCACTACTCTTATAACATCAGTATTTTTTTTTCCAATAACATACAAGTACACCTGAAAATACAAGTTACATAGCAATGATCGCACAAATTTTAGGCCTGGAAAAGGTATGCTCACAGCTGTGTGAAGAGTGAAAACTCGAAGTTCATTTTATGGTAGTGGTGTCAATAATGATTTTAAAATATATAGGTGTTGTCACTTGAGGAAAAGAAAGATCATTTCAACAATTTGACTTTGAGGAACCGGGTGTTGAGTAGAACGCACTAAAGCTAAATTATTTCAAATGTACGCATATAACAAAACTTAAGTGTGGTGCATTCACCACTCCAAGAATACTAGTCATTGAATCAGAGAGATTATTTAACAAGTCTCCAGTCCTTAAGATGATTTATCCCAACACCCCAGATGATAACATTCTCTACTGAATTCAGACAAAGAGGCAGTAAAATATGGTTGAGCACATGCGCTCCATACAGTAGTTATGCGTTGCTCAAAAGAGTGGAGCTCTAAAATTTATTTTGATTTTCTTAAACTCACTCACTTGTGACCAATCTCATGTGCAATGGTAAAAGCTGAACCCAGGCCAATGTCTTCATTAATGCTGCAGCTCCTTTCAGGCTCACACATTCCAGCCACAGAGGCCAAGCCTGAATAAACACAAGGAGACACAAAGGGTCAAGCCAAGGTGTTTCAGTCTTAAAAAGCCCATGCTTATAAATGCCTGGATTCTTTTTAATAACCTCCATGCACAGAAGGAGCAGTTGGCAAAAGGTTAACTTTCTAGTCATTTGCAAAATCACTGGGGGGAGTTTCACTTTGCCGGCTAGACATTAATATTTTTTGAACTGCAGTCAGTGCTGGAAAATGTCTAGACTAGGGGTTAGATTTATAAATTTTACTTCTGGTAACTTGGGACCACCTAGTAACTTGAGCCAGAAGAGGGAATTCAAGAAAGCATTTCTATTTTAACATTCTACAGGCTGTAGAAAGCAAAATATATCCACATTATTTTTCTAAAGAGATCTGTTTAAATTTAGTGGGTTCATAAAAATATACAAGCAACTTTTTAGTTACCAAAAAAAAAAAAAAAGGGAATCCCAAATGGTTTTTAAAAATGACATTTTTATAAAAACAAAAATGAATGATTCAAAAGAGAAGGAGAACTGTTAAAGATGGCAGGTTTTTGCATTTTTTTAATATTCTGAAATTAGTCCTGAAAGTCATGCAACAACTTATTTAAGTATTTTAATGGTAGGAAAGTCATTCACATATTCAGATATCCCATCCCTCTTCAATGCATTAGAGTTTTACCAATAAAACAAAAACTATGGTGTTAATTCGCTGATTCTAGTGAAATGTTATGTTACTCCAAATATTCTTCCCATGGGAATTTTAGTATGTAAAGGCTTTCATATTTACTTCAAAATGATAAAATGTCATGTATTACAGGGAAACAGATGCCAACTCATACTTAACACACATTGGGACAAAAGTCAGTTAGGAAAAACTGAAGGAAAAGGAGGGAAAACACTTTATGTTGGTAATCTATCATCACTCAAATATTAATAATTATCTTCCCACCAAAGGTGATTTTAATCCAATTCAGTGAATATTTATTTAGTGCAATAAACAATGTTCTATGCTAGGTACAATTTTCCAGTTGCACTAATTTGAAAAAGCAAACGCTATTCAATTTATATTGTTACTAACAAGAAAGCACTAGAAATTGTTTTTCCATATCTTCTAATATAAATTATCAACATAATAACCACATTAAAACAGAGGTGAGGTTAGTGCTGGATGTGCTAATAGGTTGTTTACTTTTCCTACTGTTTTATGTAAAGGGGCAGGAGTTTGGGGAGGGGTTGATTTCTGCCTTAGTTATTATGAATAACTGGTGTCACCCTGTGCTGCCCCTTCCATTCACTTAGAAGTCTTGGAACCTGAAGAAGAGGATGTAAAAAGAGGGACCAGTTGGGGCAAGGCAGCTAAATTTTTTTGGTTAATCAAAAATATTTAACAAATATATTTTCAAACTCTACTGAGAGAGAGACAGAGAGAGAAAGAAAAAAAGGTTGCAGTACATTGTCTGGCTTTCAGCTATTGGGTTCAACATCGTCCATGATATGGGAGGAACAAAGCCAAAACTGTTTCTGTTTTGAGCTTTATGCACTTTGTTTTAAAAAAGAAGATTACTAAAAATAATTATTATTAAATTACATTTCTTGTATTTCCTCAAATATATTATTCTATGGGTTAGCTTTTTGTTTGTTGTGGCTGTTATTGTTGTTTGGTATGTCCATGTGACTGTACATTTAATTGAGCATTCTCAATGACTCCCCAGGGAGTATTTGCAAGTGCAGATTTACCTCTGTATCTAATATAAAACTGTTAGCTCAACTTAAGACAGAACATATTTGGGAAATAACTACTACCTGCTGAAAATATAAAGGTAAATCTTAACTAAAATAAAAGAACAACCTAAAAGCTAATGTATTTTCACAACCCCCCACCATTTTCTGTATTCCTATAAAATCGAAGCTGTCAAAGTTCTTATGTGTGATTGTGTTAATAGGGGTTTGATTACTATTTGGGTCATTTAGATTTCCTCAGTTTGATGGCCACAGTTTGCACCCTTAAATCTGCTTAGCCATGTTACGATTGCCTGTCAGAGGTACTAAGAAAGAGAATATGCAAGGACCAGCATAACAACCAACGTGAAAGTTACTGGATTGACCACTCAGAAAGAAAAAAAACCTGATCAGTTCTGTACTGATAATATATTTTCCACATAAGAAGGTCAAAACTTGTATATTTATGTAGTTCATTCAGTTTTCACTACGGGGCAGTATAAAAGATCATTATAATTATTTGTAACTTGAAAAATAATTTATATTCAGCTTGAAAATGCATTGACATGTATTGATTCTAGAAATTAATAAACTATCAAAATTTGAACATATTATTTTGAAAAATATAAAAGGAGAGGTAGATTAGGAAAACACCTCAAATCTACTTTGGCAAAAATGACAAAGTATTAGGCAGTGTTATTATTAAGGTCCCAAAGAAGAACATAGCTCACTGTAAATAATGTACCTTCATAGAGCAGAATAGAATCTATAGATATATAGATATATACATGTGAATATAGATATATATGTATATATTTCCTCAAACATACACACACAAACACACACACACACACACACACACACACTAGAGAAATAAGAGCTCTAGTTTTTACCGTCTTTGAGGCTTAGTGTCTAAGGCATATAAAATTGATTAAGCTCTCAGTAAATGCTTACAGAATTTGAACAATAATAGAGTGAGTAGGGTAAACAGTATAGATAATTTGTATATTAAATAGTATCAGTTCATTTTTTATAGTACTTCTTTACTGAACACATATTTTTCTTAAATGATTTTAACAATATCCCTGCAGCATAAGTGCAGATATTACTTCTACTTCATAGGTAAGGAAACAGAGGAACTAAAGCCTAAATAAACTATAGAAGGTAATACACTGAAACTGTCAGAGCCAGTTAAGTTTCCCGTTCAGGGCCTCTTCCATTGGATTATGTTGGCTTGTTAACCTAAAATACTACACAGAATATCTTTTTGATGTAAGCTCTCTCATCAGAGATCTCCTTCTGCACTACGCTTTTGAACTAGCCAACTTCTCCATTGTAATGCCCATCCTAGGCTAATTGGGATTTCTTCTGTAGCCATAAATCCTGAGGGAACTGAGGTAGAAGACTGGAAGGCAGGTAAAAATCACAAGAAAAATTTTAATCTCTAAAGAGATAATTCAATTAACTCCCCAGGAAATTGGGTAATACCTTTTCTCCCACTTCTACTTTAATTTGATCTTCCCAAAATTCTTATGAGGTGCATAGGAATAGATTTCATAATTATTCCTTTACAGATAAGAAAATTGAGACTTGTCATAGAGAAACTACAGAATTCAGCTTCAGTCGCTTAACTTCTGAGTCTTTAATAGGTCTTAATGACACTAAAGGATTACCATAGAAAAAAAGTTTCTACTTCCTAAAATAACTCTAGTTGCTTAATAATTTAGTCTACTTGAGAGCTACCATTTCCTCCCAGCCATTTGTATTTGCAGTTAACTTTAACCAGTATGAAGTTATGCTCTGCAACAAAAAGGGATTTTTTAAATTCTAGACTACTACAGAAATGCTTTTTAAAACACAAATGATATTTGGGAAGCACAAGAAATATAGTCCTGTCTCCTCTCTCTCTCTACTAATGTCTTTAATATTTTTCAAAATTTATTTTTTTGTTCAGGTACTAAAACCTTCTAATAATATCTTAATTTATGGGGATATACTCTTGCCATCAAATTGCACCAAAAATACTACTGTTCTCAATGCCTCTTCCTTAAGTATCTCCAAAGTTTTTTTCCCCTTTTCTTTTCTAGCCTGAGAATTGAAGATGCTGGTTTGCTCTCAAACTCCTTAGTATTTTTGGAAAATACATTACAAAGATGTATTATATGAAAATGACTGGAAACTTTTTATTTATTTTTATTGTTTGATGATTTTGAATCATCTTCTAGGTTGTTTTTAATCATCATTCCACTTGTTTCCTAATAAGTGACATATCTACAAAGGTCAGGTTTAACAATTGATAGGAATAATTTCAGATGTGTCACGAATGAAAACGACCAAATTAATAATAACGAGGAAAGCCAGCGGACCAAAGAGACAATCTGAACTATCCTCCCTTTATAAAACAAACTTACCCAGTGTTCCACAGGGCTTATTTTTATAAGTGCAGATATCATATCTATAGAGGAGAAAAAAGAGAGATGAAATTTGTAATCTGATCAAATCTGTAAAATATTTTCATATATTCATCACATTTCTTTCTTGGAGCTCTGGTTGTCAGACCACAATCAGTGCAATTATGAGCAGCCAGCTGGAGTGTTGGCATTTTCAGCACTCTGGGGGACACCGCCGGCTGCACTACACTCACAGCCGCTGGCTGGCAGCCAATGGGACACCTGCCAGTAAGAAAGAAAGGTTAAAGTGGATTTTTGTAATTGCGAGTTCCATAAAACCATCTACCTGACTGTTCTGAAGCTAGAATAGCTTGTCTGCAGATTGCTACTGCTTCTGCAAAAAGTGAACGGGTGGCTTTTTATTCCCAGTGAAACAGCTGGGATATTTTCTTATTATAGCCACAGACTGTAGTTTATACTTCTGAGCTACAAACACTATTTGGAGTTCTTTCAACTCTAACACAAGTTCTTGTTTAAAAACAAACAAACAAACAAATAAAAAACAAAACAAAAAAACACTAGTGCAATAGAGCAGTGGGAATGAAATTGATAGTTTTCCTAGTTGTATACCAGCAATTTAGCGTGGTTAAAACACAAATATGTTTAAGTGATTTTTATAAACAGCTAAACAAATAGTTCAATGGGAAACTTCCCTAATATTGGCCAGACTTAATTCTAATGCTATGTCTGTCACATTACAACTTAATACAAATGATGGGAGTCCATAGATATGTTATATATTTTAAAACATACTACATTGAGAATGCTACATCAATGTTGATGTGAACATTTATTTTAAGCATTTTTATAATATTCTTGAAAACCAATTTTTAAAACCAAAAGTATTACGAGTTTCTAAAATGAGAATAAAAAATATACTTAAAAAGACATAACATTCTTATTTGCCTGTTTTATGCTAGAAATAAAAAGCCTTTCTCTTTTATTGTATATAAATGATGATTAGTCCATATTACTGGGTGGAAAGGGTTACTAATTAATCTCCTAATCAAGTCTTCATCTTCTTGTTCAAACTCTACAAATGTTGCTTCCTTACATTTGAAGAAAGGGATTTCTTCTTCTCCTCTTGTGTAACTTTCTCTTCTGACTACTCACACACTCACCCTCTGTCTTTCTTGTTATTGGTAAACCACGTGATTGTAGAATCTGGTACACTTTTGAATATAAGACATAGAGCGGGTACATGGTGTATTTACAAAAGCACCAGAAAGTATATTCTGGGTGTCACAATAAATTTACCTTGTGATCATAGTATGTACTACCTATGATGTCACATAGATACAACCCATACCGGCAGTCTTCAAGGAAATGTAAATAAATACTTTTCACGGATAATACAGATATAAATGTTTAAGTGGAATCGACTTCCAAATCCTCAACCACATGTGCCCTTTCCTAACACTGATCTGCCTGAGAATGCACCCAACAAGCCACCAGTTTTCCCTTCCTTTTGTCTTTCTCAATTGCCGTTTCCAGCTTACTTCTCACCCATCCCAAACCTTGTTATGGTGTATTGCTCCCTGGGCCTACAAGTCTCCAGAGCACATGCAAAGGGATAACTCAGGAATGCGTTGATCCTAGGGGATAATCTCTTATGAGCAAGTAAGAAAAATTGAAGGGGGTGATGCTGATTTCATCCTGGTAAGACTCTCTTTCCACCAGTCTGTTGGACTGCTTATAAACCAATCTATATATCCATCTCACAGTCAGAATTCAGACATGATATGGTTGTCATGGAATGTATTAATGTGTTCATTTCATCTAAAAAATGAAGTCAGGCTTATTATTGACAAACAATAAGTCTGACTTAACTACGTAGTTTGGCAATGAGGGCTGATTTAGCCAATTAAATTGTATGGTGAACATTTTGCATGTTTCAATGAAACAGGCAACTCCAAAGTTTTGACTAAATTTTTATTAAAAGCATATATACTACATATAATACGTTTTTAACTATAGTCTCTGTAGCTACTTAACTTGTGATAAAAAGTATTTTAGATATCAATTTTAAAATATGCAAAATGGTACATTATTTTAGAAAGCAAATTAAGCAAAAAGTTTCATAATCACAGACAAATGCAACTTGTATTTCCACCTCATAGCATCCTTTTCTCCTCTCCTCTCATTGCTCTCATTTTGCCTACACCTTTTATGTTACACTTCTGATGAATATCATTTCATTCTGTCATGACTGCCCCAAATACCTACATAAAGACTAAAGCCATCAACAAATAATGCAAGCTAAAGCGTCTTTGACTAAGATAATTGTATTTGCATTTTCCTCAGCTTTCCCCAATCCCCTAGCATACTTACAGAATTCTCTATAGGATATTCTATAGTGAAAAGACATGCCATTCCCTCGTGGCTTTTGCATTCAATTCAATTCACACTATATCCTACTCTAGTCTATATTCAGGGACAGCAATTATTATGATATATGCATTACTTTTAATACCAAATTCTGAAAAGCAACATTTTTACATTCATTCTTTCATATATGGATTTGCTGAGGACCTATCATAAGCCCAGGTATAGCGCCATACACTAGACTCTAAAGATGGGTAAGTAAGTTAGTTGTGGCCTATTTGGGAAAAGACACATAAGCAGGTAAGTTATAAAATAACTAAAGATGATTATGTAAATGTAAAAAAAAGCATTAAATTTATACACAACAGAGCCAATACATGTTAGCTATTATAATGATAATTGCCATAGTCAAGTTATATACAAAACACTACGGAAATACAGAGGAAGGAGTGATTCCACAATAGAAAACTAGGGAATTGATTCATATAGGACATAACATCTGAAATATATTTTAAAGACTTAGCCAGATAAAATACAAAAGAAAGGCATTCCAGGCATACAGAATAATCAAAGGAACAGGCTCTAGAAAGGTAAAACATATGCAGGGAACTACAAGAAGTCCACAGAGGCTGAGTGAAACATTGACTGTATAAAATAAAATATCAGAAAATGAATTTAGGAAGTCGGTGTTGGGGGGACAGAGTATGCCAAACCAGATTTGTTTTTTTCCTATAGGGAAAAGAAACTTAGAAAATAGTTTGCAAGATAGGAAAAAACATTTTTTAAGTATGTTTACATGAGTATGTATACAAATTAAGTTTGTATATGGATAAACGCCTGGAAGGATAACAGAGGGGATCAAAGGAAGAGGTGGGAGAGTAGGGACAATATAATGATTTTTACTGTATCATATACATTTCTAGATAACCAGCATTCAACCAGAAATTGTTTCAGTATGCCTGTCTCTGATGATCAACACAAGAACTAATTAATAATTAGCCTAACGAATGTTTAATAAATATTGAAAAAGTGTTTTTCATTAAAGGAAGAAATTAGTGGCATTCCAGACCTGCAGATTGGCAGGATAGTTCAGAGGCACTCCTCAATTCTTCATGAACACATAGAAGGATCCAGCAAACTTTGTAGGCTGTACATTTACGTAAAGCATCTGAGATTGGTCTTGTGTGTCCACTCATTGGTTTGGAGGATCATTGTGCCAGATGAGAAACGCAAGGGTAACAGAATTCTGCTTTAAAATATGTTCACGTACCTACTGAGTGCATTTTTCACACAAAGCGTTGCCAGAGCACCTAAATAACAGACAGCTGGAATGTCAAGCTTTCAAAAGAAACAGTATGAACTATTTTGTGCCTCCTTGTTTAATAAATATTTGTATGCTTAATGGAATTTGATCTAAAACATCCCTTCCTTAAAACTGATAGCAATGCTTACTCAGCAAACGCTAAGGGTTTGCCTGACCATACTAGCTTAGCTCAGTTTGAAACAATAAAAATTCCTGATGGATGGAAGGAAGAGCTGATGTAGTTAATAAGAAAAATAATTTATATTTGGCTATATCCACCATGATGTATACCTCTAAAAGATTACTCTTCTTTAGGCTAGTCTTATAATTATGAGTAGACTTTAGCCATGGCTTAAAAACTTTACGCAGTCTTACGCATGAACTGTAATATAGAATCAAGTTGTATTTATATCAAAATTGGGGATGATAAATCTAAAAAACTTAAGTTTCTATTCAAGAAAAACTTCCTCAACTTCAATACAATATTGATTAATACAAATATTTTTCCAAACCTTGATTGTGTGTGTTTGCTCAACACTGTGCTAGCTCTACATAATAAAATGTTCAGCACAAGTTCAAGGTAATCATTTGAGACATTTAAAAAATTAGAAATTGCTTTAATTCATTTACTTTCATATTTTTATAAACTTCCTATTTTTTTCACATTTAACTTTTTAATTTTTTGTGTGTTGTTTATTCCACCCATTCTCTCAATATTGTCATTCCTTCTTTCTCATGTATGCATTTCTGATTCTTTCCTATAAACTGTGCTGTCAGCCCCACAGTCTAGAGATGATAAGTATCTTGAGACATTATCTAATTCAAGCCACATTAACTTAAACCAGGATTTCTCAGTCTTCTCACATCTCACTTTTAAACATCATTTGTGAGGGTTATACGGCATCATGTTGAAAAATGATGTTTACAGGTAAGATGTGAGAACACTGAGAGATACATATAGGAGCTGAAATAAGGTGGCTCATACTTGGCCTAATTTGGGAAATGGCTTCTTTCTCCTGACTTACTCATTTTTACTTTACATCATATTAACTCTATATCCTATCAACTTTCTCTGCCATACTATGGTTTTGTCTCATTTTCCTCCAGACCTGAGCCAGTTCAGAAAAAATTGCAAAGAAAAATAATGCAAGGATTCTTGCTTTACCCCAAAGATATAATTGGTGTGCTTTTAGGACTTATCTTGCTGCCGTAAGATTTGAAGAAAAAAGAGACTAAGAAAAATGAGTTCCCCATTGCCCACTCTCAGCCCCCTTTAAACAAATCAATCTCTACTAAATCTTGACCAACCAGATGTGGCAGGAGCCCCTAAACTTAGGCCTTTGGTCTAAACTTGATCTAGGCTAAAAAGTACACCGG